GAGGTCTTTAAGCATCACTCATTCCTTCTTCTTCTCCACAGCCGGTGGAATGGTGTGGTGCCCTATGCACACACTTCATTTGTGATGTATGAGGGGACTGCTGTGTCCTTGCTTCGCGATTTAACGGTCGACAGTCACCTGCCGAGAGAAGTGCTGTACTTTGGCGGAGGCAGACTACACTCGATGGTATGTGTGCTGAAATTCTTCACATATACATGTGTATGTGTACTAATATTCTTCACGTATACAGGTGTATGTGTACTGATATTCTTCACGTATACATGTGTATGTGTACTGATATTCTTCACATATACATGTGTATGTGTACTGATATTCGTCACGTATACATGTGTATGTGTATTGATATTCTTCACTTACACATGTGTATGTGTACTGATATTCTTCACGTATACATGTGTATGTGTACTGATATTCTTCACGTATACAAGTGTATGTGTACTGATATTCTTCACGTATACATGCGTATGTGTACTGATATCCTTTGCGTACATGTGTGTGTGTGCATCTGTTCTCAGAAGGGTTATATCCTGTGCTGTTTGTCGCGTGTGTATGTTTGTGCCCATAGGGTCACAGCAGGTTTACGTACTGCTCGTGTTTACCTATCTCACCACATTACAGAGTTAATCTGCAATCAATAGTACACACCCTCCTCATAGACTCTGAACACCCACATAACGAGTATATCTGGCCTTCGTTAGAACGCAGACAACGCTTTGAACAAGCAAACAGAATACTATGGATAGACAATCCGCAGATGGGCTTCAATACACTTCACTCACAGGCTAATGCCTATATAGCGGCAACCCAGTTCTGGACACACAAACTCCCGAACCATCACATACACCCCCTGTTCGATATAGATCAGGACTTGGACAATCACATACCTATAGACATTACACTCTCATACATTTGTAGTAGCGTAACCCCACCTGATTTGATCGGACGCTGGCGAATATGCTTGCGACAGATATGCATTGACTTGAAGTTGAATAGCTCATATATTAACATACACTCCGCTATGAAACACCCTCCGCCCCGAACTCATCCGCCTTGAATGCCTACCGGCAGACACAGTCGTGCACCACGACCCGGTGATGCGGTAGTGAGTATGATACACTGGTGAGCCACTGTATCATATCTCATATTCAATGACACGATATGCATATCTGTCACAGCTTAGTCACAGACTCTGTGTCAATTCAGTAACGGTTGTCAAAAACGTACACCACCATCAACTAGATCACCACACCCAAAGAAAACAACCCAACAAGTACAACAACCACAGACCGCAAAAGACTCAGCCTTTAGATAGTACAGTTCGCCCTCCCCTGAAAAGCAGGGTCACGGGAACTGCCAACACCTGCCGGTAGCCACAAGTCCGCCCCGGACATCAGGCATTGTATATAGCAATAGCGTGTAAACAAATAAAGATACCTAAGACCTTAAACCCTAAACCCCTAAACCCCTGAAACACTTGAACAGCACTTGCGGGCCAGCTCATGGGGTTTAGGGTTTTAGCTCTTCAGAAATGTCACATAAGCCATCTCTCACACACCTCACAAGTGTCACTTAAGCCATATCTTACACGCCTCACAAGTGTCACATAAACCATCTCTCACACGCCTCACAAGTGTCACTTCAACCACCTCTCACACACCTCACAAGTGTCACTTAAACCATCTCTTACGCGCCTCACAAGTGTCACATAAACCATCTCTCACACGCCTCACAAGTGTCACATAAACCATCTCTCACACACCTCACAAGTGTCATTTAAACCACCTCTCACACACCTCACAAGTGTCACTTAAACCATCTCTTACACGCCTCACAAGTGTCACATAAACCATCTCTCACACGCTTTACAAGTGTCACATAAACCATCTCTTACACACCTCACAAGTGTTCACGAACGGAAAGTGGGGTGTCGCGGCTGGCAATAAACCCGGTTTATGTTCAGCATAAACCCAGTTTTACATTATAATATTCATATTTCTGACAGCCGCTCATGGTAAGGCGCACACCCGTTGAATTGGTACCCACTCACCCCTCTCCAAATGACCGACACACTGACTCTGTTCCATACACCACCGACATGACCTACAAACACACCTGCACCCAAACTTGTAGGCCGAAGCCACGGGTATAGGCCACGTGGTCCGCTTCGTTCCCTTGGCAACCAAGACGTTTGCCAGGTACATGTTTGATCTCTCTGTGGGGCTGTCGCTCCTGAATGCCGTGCCTGTTCCTCGGCTGGATGGTGAGCACATTCTCAGGTGTGTGGTTATGCTTATATATATATATATATATATATATATATATATATATATATACTTAGTCTTAGTCACCCGTGTCTCTCTATCAGCAGCGTCATCAAATCTACCTACCACTTGTCTATTCATGTGATATTTAATACACGCCCGCAGGTCTATCATTGCGCTACACCCCTCGCGAGTAACTCGTAGCAGTCATACACTTTGTGCAAAAGTGGTTCTATTTAGTTATAGGGTACTATACACATGTAGGTGTCCCATTCAGTTCAACGGGTGCAAATGGGTCCATATTCCCGGGTGGGTGCAGTGCAGGTTACATTGGATATGTAGTTGGCACTCGTGTCCTATCTGTATTCATCTCGGAGCTCTCAGTTCCTGTCGCGTGGTGAGCTTAGAGGGCCCAGGGGTGGTGAACATGTACACACATATACACACACACACTCATAT